CTTTGTGGTGGTTGTGTGTCTCTTTGTGGTGGTTTTGTGTCTCTTTGTGGTGGTTGTGTGTCTCTTTGTGGTGGTTGTGTGTCTCTTTGTGGTGGCTATGTGTCTCTTTGTGTTGGTTTTGTGTCTCTTTGTGGTGGCTTTGTGTCTCTTTGTCATCATTCTGTTTCTCCTTGTGGTCATTTTGTATGTGTTGTGTTATTTATTTATTTATTGTCCCTTTGTGGTCATTTTGTGTGTTGCTGTGGTTGGTTTTTGTCTCTTCGTGGTGGTTTAGTGTGTCTTTGTGATCAAGACTGAAAAGTGGAAAAATAGAATGAAACACAGTAAAAGATGTGACATGCAAAATACAGAATAGAAATATAAATAAATGAATGGAACAGACACCGACGTACACCAATAAACTGATAAAGATGCCATAATTCAGAGTAAATAGACGTAAAGCTCACAGCTGACATCAGAGAGGAGAAGATTATTATCTACGATTGCACTTTTCGTGTTTGTGGGACTGAAAAATCAGATTTCTGATTTGGAGCCGTCCAGTTGAAGAACATTTTGAGCTTCCAACATGGTCAGTGTTTGTGTTTTGCAGAAGCTGAACTCTTTAATGTTTTCACCTCCACACACACACTGAGGCCACGTTTACACGTAGCCAGTATTCACAAAACCTGATCTACGTTTTCTAAAACAACATCCTTCACACCAAGTCGTTTTCAAAGAAGTCTTTGTTTACACAAACCCACATAAACACGTCGTTGTGAGCTGCCAGGCCTACAGGGGGCAGTGTGACAAGAAGCATAATGCCATGCCAGCTGATCAGAATCCTGGAGAAAACACAACAACGAATGGCACGAAGTACTTCCTGCTACTTCAACGATAATGGTGCGAGGGTGGTTTGTTTGGACCGACAGAGAAGTGGAGCTGCTCCTGAATGTGGTGTCAGAGACACAACAAGGAAAACACTTGAAAACACTGGATTTCTATCACAGCAGCCGGACCGTAAACATGGTCGCACACGTGTGACGCTGACGACGCTTCTGTCTCACACTGTGACGTTAAACCTGCAAGCAAACACCAGTTTTAAACCTCTGAGTCTATTTTCTGTATTTAAAAAACCCTTCACACATTAACCACATTAGAAGTTACAGCAGAACGTTCTTCATTTTTGTATTTTTGTCCTCGTTCCTCGTGTACAGACCTAAAACAGACGATGCAAAGACACTGACCTGCAGGCTGCCCAGAACGTTTGTGTGTCCGGCCTGAGATCTCCTTCATCAGCAGAACGAAGCAACAAAACGCCACTAAGGACCACCTGGAGCTCTGCTGCGTTGAGAGCATTTTCACTCTGCTCTGATTTCAGCTCTGGGGGCTCGTCGTCGTGTGAACGCAGCTCAAAGCTTGTTGCTTCAACGCGATCAATACTCACAGCGACCTTTACTCAGCAGGCGAAGCTTCTCTCGGCCTTCAGACCTCAAGTGAACTGCAGCTGGAAATTGTAAATAAACCCCTCTGCAATATCACCTAAATGCTGGATAATTTCTATATATATATATATATATTACCTCTGAACTACTGTATAATATATATATCTATATGTATAGATATAATACATAATAATACTATGTTCATTCATAGTTAATCTGATTAGGTGACAGAGTTTGTTATCATCTGACGTGTAAGTGATAGTGTACAGGAGTTAAGTCACTTCTGTTGTAAACTTTTTAATCTACTGACGACCAGATTTCACTGAAGGATTTTTAGAATTACAGATAAAAGTGCAAACAAAAATTCCAATAAATCCGTTTACACAAAGAACGAAACACTCACAGCTGTTCCTGCCACCTGTGAATCCAGGTAATTCTTGGTATGTTCTTGGTAGTCACAGCCAATCAAACGCTCTTCAGCTGCCAAGAATCGACCAGGATTGTAAGCTCTGGCCAATCAGCGCTCATGTTGCAAGGAAGACCCGCCCCCGCTACCAAGAACTGACCAATAGGAGACTTGATGCTGCCAAAAACTGATCATCTGCCAAAAACTGATTGTTCCTCATGTTGAAGCATTTTTGTAAAGTAACGTTGTTTGTTTTAATCTGGATCAGAACATGACAATGCACGTCATGTTGCTTCTGTGGTCACAGCAGAAGGATGTGTTCTGTGAAACTTCAGTCTTGTCACAGTTTATAGTGTACTCAGGTCTGACCTTTGTAGCGGACACAGCTTGACTTTCTCTTTAATGCCAAGCGAGGGTTCACACCAGGTAACAAGCACTGTTTTTGTTTAAGTTCTGGATCTACTCCCATCATAAAACCGCCACCTTGGACACTGGGCAGAACGGGGAAACCACTCGTTCTCAGGAAGAACCACCATTAACGTCACCAAAGAGAATTACAGCAGCTGTTGTGATCAACTTTGCTGCTGGTGCTCCACTGGAAAAATGGTGCTGCATGCACCTTCTTACAGCATCGACGCTCCTGCAGAGGCATGAAACCACAAGTGGGACGCTAACACTTTGGAAACAACAACTTCAAAGGCACAGTGACTCTCATTGAGGTGTGAACCAGGGGCAGGGCTTCAGGGGGGTAGGGTTAGGCTGGAGATGGAGAAGGGCCCATACCATAGCTCAGGGTAGCAAGAGTAAGCAAACCCTCCTCTGAGTTACACTGAGAGCGGTCCAGAGTACGGGCTCAGTCTGCTTAAGATCAAACATGTTCATACAGGTGTTACATTGGTCGCCCCAGTCAGGACAGAGTCATGGCTGCTAAAAATTTTACCAGACCGACTGACTTTAGTGATGTAGGTGTAAAATATTTAATAAAATGTTGTCCTGCATGAACTGCTTTATTTTAGCCTCACATCAAACTTTATGATGCACAAATTTACAAGCTGATCGCCCATATTGTCTCCAAGTGTGTTCTGGGTAAAACTCTTCACCAACCGTCCACCAACGTCATCACCGGTCACTTGTCAACAGATTGTGAACTCGGTCGAGCATTTTTACGCACTAGGTTAACATGAGTGGAGCTTCATATCAGCATAAAAGTGGAGCAGCAGAGTGAAAAGAAAGGGAACAGAGAGAGCAGGAAAAGACAAATTACAAAAACTGGACACGTAATTTGTTCATCGTCCTGGACATGAACTGGACTTTTTTGTTGGCAGTGATTCAGACCAAACCTGCCAGCACAGCGAGGGAACCAGGTTAACTCCAGGTAGCAGTTCTAACCATTACTATACACAATGTGTGAGTTAGCTGTAAACTGTTGGTGGTTGTAAATTGTAGCAGCCCAGCCGCTTAGCTTATAGAATAACCGCTATCCGCGGTGCTGAACTGCTCTGA